ATTATTATTATAAATCAAGAAAAAAATCTTGAAGATCCATTTCGGTTATAATTTATTTCATGAATATTATTATATTCATCTCTTCAGTCCGAATTTTCTTAATAAATGGAGACAATCTGTTACTTTTTCTTTCTTCCTCTTTTCCTTTTTCTCTTCATGCTTTCCTTTCCTCCTGTTCATATATCTGTCCGGATGAATTGTCGCCATATATTAAGAACTTTTGGTCTGAAGAAAAGAATCTTCGGAAGGAATCGAACCTACCGTTAAGCCCAGTGCCCCTATAACGTTTTGACCGCGAAGACACGTAAAACTTTCTTCTGCCAATGATCTCTCGAAATTTTCCATATGTGCCCGCAGTTTCAGAACCAAACGTAAGCAAAGGGAACTTATAAGAAATAAATGGATTTTATTAATCGGATAAATTTGTTATCAATTTAAATGTTATTTTTTAGTGGATATACACATTTGAATAGAGGCTCCATCTATATATTAAACAGTAAAATATAATGATAATGGTAAGACATTAGCTAGATGAAAACCGCATTAATATCTTAAAATTATCTGAAAGGAATGCGGGGAGATATTTCTGCCGTACCACACAAACAAACACACACACACATATATATAGTCAAACCTAGTGAGCCAGACAAACCTACCCAGGTTTCATCTAAGCGGATCGCCAGGGAAAGCTGACTAAAGAGGCAAAAGAGAAACGGCAAATTAAAATATGATAAATATGCCGTTTCTCTTTAGCCAGCTTTTCCTGACGCTCCGTTTAGGTGAAACCTGGGTAGGTTTGTCTGGCTCACTAGGTTTATCTAGCTCTGCTCTACGGTTGTATTGAGTTCTTTTTAGTTAGTTGTTTACTCGTGTCGGTTTTTTTTTCTTTGGGCTTTGAACCTGTATCCGTGCGATTTTTTCGACAGACTTTCATGTTCCTGGCTCTTTCTTTTTTTTAAAACCCTTTTTTCCTTCGAGATTGATTTGATTATTGGCAAATCAAAAATTCGAAAGTTTTTCGAGACGAGTATAGTTACCTATATTTATTATATATATATATATATATATATATATATATATATATAATCAAGAAAAACCTTAAATATCCATTTCTTAATGAATGGAGACAATTAATTTGAACAGATATACGATATCAGTCCGGGTGAATTTTCTTGATTTATATGGATCTTTCGGTCTAAAAAAAATTGTAACCGAAACGGATCTTTCAGGTTTTTTCTTGATTTAATATAATAATGCACTGTAGTTTACATTACGCTCTCGTTGGATTAATAGCCTACCTTGAATTATCCTTACCCGACATAAATTAGTGTTATATATATATATATATATATATGTGTTTGTGTGTGTAACTGTATATGTGGGACTGCTGAAAAATCTCATGACAAGGGGATTAAAAAAGAATTCCGATCTATGGCGATTTGGTATGATTGTGGAAAATGGGTCGGGTCGAGAACTTTTCAGCATCTCCTCGAAAATAATCCATCAGCCCAATTCTGTTAGCTTAGCATTCTGAAGTGGAAAATAATCCCATGCTAAATAGCCGACTAAATCTTCATACAATCTGAAGTAGGAAGTGCCATCTCATTAACTGTTTTTTGGTGTTGCAAGACTGACCTAGTCTGCGAGATGACATTTTCTTTTTTCGATTTTTTTTTTTTTTTGTCGCAGCTGCAGACTGAAGTAATTTGAGATTAACAATTCTACAGTTGCGGACCAGATTTCCCCGAGGAAGTAAATATTTGTTGAGAAAGAAAAATGTTTGTGTGCTGAAACAGATGCAAAAATATATAAAAAGGTATAGATTAAAACCCAGTTGCATTTTGCCCTCACCTTCTACTTTCCATTATTAACATTGGCCCATTCAGACAATATATAATGATATTCAGGAATACACGACAAACACAGACTTGAATATCGTAACATATTTTAGACGTGTCAAACATTCAAAAAGAGAGAGAGAGAGAGAGACTTAAATATATATATATATATATAATATGTGTGTGCATAAATTTAAATATGTAAATATACCTAGATGAAGATATGTACGGTGGTGTGTGTGTGTGTATATATATATATATATATATATATATACACACACATGCACATGTGAGTATCAAATGATATGTGTAGATACAACTAATATATATATATATATATAAATAAAAGGAAAGATGCATGACAAAGTGTAAATAGTTTTCGTGCGACGCGGTTTGTCCCTTAGGACTTCATCGGTAAAGTTTGTTTACGTTGATGCAACTACACATGCGCACGACCGAGAGACGCGGGAAATTGAATTTTTTTTTTATAAGGGTTTACACATATATATATATATATGTGTGTGTGTGTGATTGTTCCTATATTATGACCTGTCATTCTTATTTCTATTTTTTTTAGGCGTAGGCTTGTGAACACACACACACACACATATATATATATATATATATATATATATAAATATTTTAATATCTTTTCTGTTTATACTTTTTCTTTTTTTTGTTTACACTTATTTGAGTAAATGCGTTGTTTGTACTTTTTTTAATTAAACAGTATTACATTTACCGACCTTGAATGTTCGAGAAATTTCGTAGAAAATATGCGTCCTCCGACAAGAATCGAACCTGTATCCACCGTGGAACAGTCATTTAGCTTTACGTGCAATGACCGTTCAGCAATAACTCGGAAGTTCCCTTTTATATCAATAATAATATAAATAATTATAATTAATTATAATTAATATTATAATAATAATAATATTTTTTTGGTGGATGTGCATTTAGCGTAATGGTCAACGGTGCTGAAAGGTGAATCGACCTGCTGTGCTTAAATTCAAAACGAGTCTGTTTCGTTCACTTTTATGCCATTGGAAAATGTCACAATTGATCTTCTTCCACCTATGGGTTGGAAAAGAAGAACAAGACTTATCCAACAGATAACTGAAAGTTTTATAAGATCAGCGCTCCTTATGTACATCGTCTTTGTCATGTTGAATTGATAATGTTAATTATATTTTATGAATATGTCCTGAAGATGGTTTATTAGACCGAAACGCCCGACGTTCACATATTAACATTAAAACAGCATAATTGTATATAAGGATTTTTGTTTGTTTTTTCCGTATATTTTTCTTCATACTGTCGGATCTATATCCATATATTTGCTTGCATAATTAAGAAATACATTTTAAAATAGGATTATTTTTCTCACCAAATGTAAAAAGGGTGTGGAAAAGATTCCTTAAAAACATTATATTTAAATAAGATACGAATATCACGTGAATAAACTAAAAATATGCATACACACACACACACACACACACATATATGATCAGAAGTACCGTAATTCCCCAAGTATAATACGCATTTTCTAATAAAAAAGCAAAATCCAGGGTGCGTATTATGCATAGGTAAAAAACTTTCAAAATTGCCTTAAAATAAAATAAGAATTATAATAAAACTAAATTAGAATAATATTATTCTATGTTTAATATCATTTTTTTAAAAATAAGATTAGGAAACGCTTACAGTAATGAAATTAGAGAGGTACAATTTATAGGGTTTGATTAACAAATAAGGGTTGCGTATTATGCATGAATAGAAACATTTTCCCACACTTTCAGCACAATTTTAGGTGTGCGTATTATGGATGAAAGCGTCTTATACATAGGTAATTACGGTAATTTAAGTGACCATACTTATCGGAGGTTGACTCAGAGTTTCAGGATTTCTCATTTGTCAAGACTCAGACAAGAATGATTTTATTAATTACAGAATGTATATTTCATTATTTTGCAAATCCTTATTTATATGCGGTAACTAAATTTATAAATTAGATTTCCTACATCTAGTTTATATATAATTATTATTAATTAAAGGTTATATTATTATTATTATTACTTAAACGTTATTTTTAGTGGTTACCCATATTTGAATAGTTGTACTGTTTAGTAAATAAAACAGTGTATTATTTATCTGTCGGTCTTGGATCTTCCATAGATCTTAGTAAAAATTATGCGCACTCCACCATGTTTCTCAGTTCGTTACCGAATTCAGTTTTCCCCAGTGAAGAATAATGGATCTTACTCTGCTTCGGCGGTACATGCCGTGTTAGAAGGCTTTAATTCATTGTTGCTTTTCTCCAAGACTGGTTACTCTGCCAAAATTGATAGAGTCCGTTCATCCCTACTATTTAAACCAGAATTGGGTTTGATATCAGAAATGTATTTGTGATTTTCTCAGTTATATTAGCGTGAACTGAACTCGGCCGCCACCATTGAGATTTGAACTCGGTTTTAAAATTGCATTTTCCACGGCGATAATCGTTTCAACCCCCCACCCATACACACACAAGGCTGGAAAGTTTTCTGCCCAACAAAATACATTTCTCAAAAATAATATTGGTTTATTTGATCAAATTGAGGGAATTGGGTCAGTTGTGTGTGTGTGTGTGTCTGTCTGGCTAATGTAATAGATTTTTATGAGAGTGAAATTATGAAAATTTGCTAGAAACGAAAGAAAAATACAAGTAAAATACTTGGTAAAAGGAAATCATTTTTAAAGGCTACAAGAAGAAAAAATATTTGTCCAAAAGTAATATTAAAAAAAAACACAATGACTGGAAGTAAAGACACTTTTTTATATTTAAAAACAATTGTGTCAAAATATAGCGTTTTCAATGAAATAAAAACAAAAAAGATGACAATTACCAGAAAAAAAGTAAAAAGAAAATGAAGGAAAGAAAAGAAAATGAAGGGAAAAAAAGAATATAAGTGAAAGTAAAGAGAATAACTAGAAGTAAAGTCTGAATATTTTCGCTGGTACATAAAGGCAATTGTGTCAAAATATGGCTTTTTGAATGCGATAAAAGACAAATAGAAGAAACTGAACGGCAAAATATAATCTGGAAGAAAATGAGGAAAAAATATAATCTGGAAGAAAATGAAGGAAAAAATATAATCTGGAAGAAAATGGGATACAAAATATCTAGAAGAAAATGAGGAAAACAAGACAGAATCTGGAAGAAAACGAGGTAAAATTATAATCTGGAAGAAAATGAGATACAAAATATAATCTGGAAGAAAATGAGATACAAAATATAATCTGGAAGAAAATGAGATACAAAATATAATCTGGAAGAAAATGAGGAAAACAAGACAGGATATGGAAGAAAATGAGGAAAAAATATAATCTGGAAGAAAATGAGGAAAAAATATAATCTGGAAGAAAATGAGGAAAAAATATGATCTGGAAGAAAATGAGGAAAACAAGACAGAATCTGGAAGAAAACGAGGAAAAAATATAATCTGGAAGAAAATGAGGGGAAAAAAGATAGAATCTGGAAGAAAAATGAGGGGAAAAAGATAGAATCTGGAAGAAAATGAGGGAAAAAAGAGAATCTGGAAAAAATGAGGGGAAAAGATAGAATCTGGAAGAAAATGAGGGGATAGAAAAAAAAATAGGGGAAAAGATAGAATCTGGAAGAAAATGAGGGGGAAAAAGATAGAATCTGGAAGAAAATGAGGGGGAAAAAGATAGAATCTGGAAGAAAATGAGGGGGAAAAAGATAGAATCTGGAAGAAAATGAGGGGAAAAAAGATAGAATCTGGAAGAAAATGAGGGGAAAAAGAAGAATCTGAAGAAAATGAGGGGAAAAAGATAGAATCTGGAAGAAAATAAGGAAAAAATATAATCTGGAAGAAAATAAGAAAAATATAATCTAGAAGAAAATGAGGAAAACAAGACAGAATCTGGAAGAAATGAGGAAAAAATAAAATCTGGAAGAAAAAGTGGAGAAAAAAAAAGAATATGGAAAAAATGAGGTAAAAAGATAGAATATGGAAAAAATGAGGAAAAAAATGGAATTTAGAAGAAAATGAAGGAAAAATTAAAAAAAAAAAACAGAAAAATATAGATATATCCTCTACCATAAAATAAATAAATAAACAACATAAACAGCAAGGGGAATAAATATGATTGTGTTTAACACGGAAACATGTTTACTTGGAATTTAACATAAATTCCGCTTGTCAGGGTAGACTAAAATGTATTCCTTATGCCTCAGGCTAAAACACTTCTACTCGGGTTTTTTTTTATACTATTACAGTTTTTTTTTTTTAATATTATTATTTTACACATTTATTTTTCATTCGCGTTCTACATTCTGCCTCCCGCCACTATGATGCAATAACTCCCACTCATCGCCCTCCTACCGTCTCCAAATCATATCCTCCTTGTAAGGAATTTTCAGTGCCTTCCACCTGCTCTGTTTTTACTATGACATAATTTTCTCCTCTTACTATTCCCAACACACACTTCTCCCTATTCACTGCTACCACGATTCCATCACCAAACGTCGCCACCATCTTTTAATTCCATCTTAGACCATCACCATAACTAAGTTTTCTCACTTTCTACACGTAAAACATACAACCACCACTCTCATGCTCCTACAGCTCTTCCCATATATATATATATATATATATATATATAAGGGAGAGAGATTAATACAAATATAAAATTAGTTGATGTTATGTTCAGCACTCGGAATCCAAAGTGCTCTAGATGAACCTTTTTGTAATCGTTTAGTACACTCGTCAGGGGATATCAGTTATTGGCTGACGATTTTTCATTTTTGTTACTCTTATTTTAAGTTAAAGAATAATTTATTTTTCTTCTTCTCTGTGTATGTGTCTACGCGTGTGTACGTGTTTGTGTATGTGCACATGTGTAGAATGGGGTTATTTACCCCTCTTCAAAATGTTCTTGTTTCCTTAGACTCTTTCCTTATTCCTTTTTCTTCTTTTTTTCTCGTTTGGTTCTTAGGATCAAAGATAATGTTCTAATGTCATATCCGGTGTCATAGACAGGATTTTTTTATAGGATTTTTTTTTATCTTGAATATTCTGGGACTTACTTAAGTTTGGAAAGTATTCCGTTTTTTATTTATTTATTTAAATATTAAAAAAAAAAATTAATAGTTAAATGGCAAAGTAAGTATATCTTTATAAGTCTTCATTTACGCCGGCTATGTTTATAGGGGGACAGTGCTCAATATCAGGTAGAGAAAATGTTTATTTATCACTTTAAACGTTACTTTTGGTGAATACTGTTATTTAAGTAGACGCTCCGTTTACTTTGAACGGTATATTTATTTTCGTCTACAGGGCTGAATTTCGAAAAATTTCATTAAAGAATATAGGCTCCCTCCTGCAGGATTCGAACCGGCGTCCCTCTTTACAGGAGTAACTGTCGTTAGATCCGACGTATTTTCAAACGATTAGGCCACAAAAAGCGTCAGCGATCAATCAAGGCCGAATATTGCTTTTAAGCAGAAATCCTTCTGGTCCGAGATATATATATATATATATATATATAATGAAAAGCAGACCACTTTAAGGTACCATTACAATAATTTAATTCACCAAAATCCTTTTTAAAGGACTCAGGATCATCAGGTAACAATTCCAACAATGAAATGAAAGGAAAAAATGGGATTAGAAATTGATGGGTAGTGTAATTTTTGTAATTTAACAGTGAGGGTGATAGTTGTAGTTAACTAGACAAGGTAGAGTATAGGGAGGGGTTAATTTCATATTTCTCTTAAGCATGCTTTATATTGGGGTAGGGGTAGTGACAGAAGCGTGACCTATTTAGATGGTTAACTTAACGGAAATGATATATATATTGTGTATATTTAGGAAGCAATTTTTCATTGATGCATGTTTCATTAAATAATATAGACAAGTTTTGTCTATTTATTTTAAGTAAATTCCTTTCATATTGTCTGATAAGCTTAATAGCATTATCATTGAACGACGAAAGGAAATCACCATATTGATACATGTTTAAATCCAATCTAAGCTTTTGGCTTACATAAGCCATTATCAAAGATGACAATTACTTTTCAATATATCAACCAATACACGGACGAAACAATAATGTTTTTGTTGCATATTTGTGGTTGATATATCGAAAAGTAATTGTAATTAAAGTCGTTGGTTAGATCCAGTGTCAGTGTAAGTTCAATACCTGGTTAAGGCAGAACTTGGAGAGGTGAATTAACAGGAGATAACTGATAACTGACATCCATTAGACATGGCACGTGGTACCAGAACAGTTTACCCCAGTGAGCGAAATAAAGGGTTCAGTTCGACATTACAACCACCTGAAAAAAGCCTGGAGCGTACAACGGCCGAAACGTTGTGATAAATACGGCAAGATGAGAACAATAGTCCGAATAATGTAAATAGTGTACATAATGCCTCATCTCAGAAATATAGACAAATAGTAAAAGATAATATACGCAAAATTATATAATTTACAATATATCAAATAAAATATCTGCTAATTAGTGCTCAAAGCTGTAGCGATAATTTTATTAAAATATAAGTAAAAACGTACATTACCTCAGATTTTCTTAATTTTGGAATCATTTATTGCAACAAGATGGTATGCATTCATTACCGAAAATTTATTTTATTTATTAGAAGATACATATTCTTTGATCGATGCAATTCTTTTCAAGAGTCACGATGAATAGTTAAAAAAACGAAACTCTGAGTTGACCATCAATAAGTATTAAGCGTTATTAGCTCTATTTTAAATATTACAATCACATGCAGTGTGTGATGGATAAATTGTCATTTCATATTTTTATGCTGAGGATAACATGTGAGCAACGATGAGGTCTTTGAGAGAATGCAAACAAGGAGTAAGATTATGCTTAACATAAGGAAGAGGCAGAGGAAATTTCTGGGACACGTGATGAGAAAGGAGGGCCTGGAGAATCTGATACTCACGGGACGGATAAAGGGGAAAAGAGACAGGGGAATTCAGTGCATGACATGAGTTTGGGCAGATGGATAGCGGATCGTGGTCTGGGGGAGTTGGCAGGAACACAAAATCTGTTGAAAGCCACAAGTGATAGGGGAAGTGGAGGGCCATGATTGCCAACGTCCTGAAAGGACACAGCATATAAAAAGAAAGAAGAATTTCGCACACGCGTGTTGTTTGTTTTTGATTTTGTCTACTGCACAGTATAATAGGGTCAGTTGGGCACCGTCTGTAAGAAAAAGAGCACCATGACGCAATTCACTCCGACAGAAATTTGGAAATGGCATGATGTACTGTTTGACATTTACGCCGGCTGCAATACGAACATTTCAGAGTGGGTGTCAATCTGAGGACAGTGCAGAGGATTTGAAAAGAGTTGGATGAGTCTAATGGTGATTACGAAGGTGTTTGGAGTGATCACAAGAGATGGCGACGTTATACCTCCATTCATCAACAGTACCTCACAGACTCAACACATCAAGTGCCTTGAGATGGTAGTGCTGCCCTGTATCAAGTAGGTGGCGCATGGTAGACCTATGTGTGACAACAGGACTGTTCCATGCCACACAAGCAGGAGAAACCCCTCATGGCTGTCAGAGAATTTCTGTGATCACATCACCTCTTACATCTAAACCCCCAGATGCATTTGTTATGTATGGGGCGCAGTTGTGCGAGAAACGAACAAAGCTCCTTCTAACACGAAAGATGAACTGAAGGCAAGCGTTATGACAATATTCAATAACTTAAACAAGGAGATCGTCCAGAAGAGTTGCAGGAGATTCCTAAGTCGTCGGGAGGCCGTGGTTGGAGCCAATGGCGATTTTATTGATTAAGTGTACTCTTTAGTATTTCAAGATATTTTTGTGTAATTTTGATAAATATATCTGTTAATATGAGATGTCAAGGTTATTTTCATTTTTGCGTAATTTAGATAGCAATTTATCCATCGCACCCTGTACTTCGTAACACCATCACCATCCCAGAAAGTTTGCTACTTCGAAACGCTGACCTTCTTTTCTTCCTATATACGTTTTTCACGCTACCCCACACAACCATGAACATGGGGAGAAAGACATCCCGCCACACCCATGATACAACCACTTAGATCAAATTATTCTTTACCCCTAGACTTCTTCTGTATCACAGTGTCTAACCTTTGTTGCTTAAACTTGACAATCGAGAAGGTTGTTTGGAATTACTTTTGCTTTGAACTTAAGTGTGTTAAGATGGTTGTATGTTTATTTACTTAGATAAATAATACTACTCTCTCTCACACACACACACACACACACACATATATATATATATATATATATATATATATATATATATATATATATATATATATATATATGGGCACGTGTCCGAGTCGTTAGAACGTTCGCATTCTGAACCCATGAGACACGGGTTCGAATCTTACCATGGTCGATTTGTCAGGATGGAGACTTCCTGGCGTTATCGGACTCTAGGGGTCGATCCCGATGTGCAGCACCTTTTGGAAAGTGCCTGAAAGCCATGCCACGGGTTGACCCAAGCCTTGTGAGTGAAATTGGGTAGACGGGACCCTTGCTGTGCTGTCGATAGCTGCGCTACCACAAAGTCACAAGTCATCGTGGCCTTGTTCAAATTGTAGATCACGCTACATTCCCAGAAACTGTAACTAAGGTCTGCTCGGCATAGTTGCAGTATAAACCACAGGTTGGCTATGCGGGTGTTGAATAAACACAAATGCAACTGATCAAGCGTCTGCAATAGGGAATTGTTACATATATATATATATATATAGTGTTTGTGTGTGTTTGTTTGCGCGTATGTAACAAATATTTCACTTTCAAAGATTTGAGGCATTCTATAGACCTCCTTGGGCTTCCACGGGAGAAAGACACTTACAGACTTGCCAATGCATATAGTGGTAGATAATTATAGGGGAGTGATTTTCACTGTTTCAAATATTTCACTTTCAAAGATTTGAGCCAATCTATAGACCTACTTGGGTTTGCATAACAGGAAATATAGACACGAGAGAGAGAGAGAGAGAGAGAGAGACTTATAGACTTGCCAATGCACATAGTTTATTTAATTCCATTTCCTGAAATTTTTGGAAGCAGGTTTACTATGGAGATCTGGAGATCAAAGCACTTTCTATACGTTTTCGCCTTAGCAATAAAATAGATATGAAAATGTGCAGTGGTGTTTTTGAATAATTAGGCTAAGATATCTTTGTGTCAAGAATATGTGTTGACTGAATTCAAGAAGCCATGTGTTCGTATGTAAGTTTAGATAACTTTATGCCGGGATAAATTTATTTATTTCTGCATCTAATTTATACATATGAATATTTTGTGTGCGTTTTAAGAAATGTATTTGTTTTTTCGTTTTTGTTCGATTCTATGACACACGTATGAAAAACATAATTTATTTTAAATCTATGGATATGTATGCATATAAATAATGCATATGTTTGTCTTTTTGGTTTTCCTAATACACACACACACACACACACACACATATATATATATATATATATATATATATATATATATATATATATGATGTGAAACGTGTTCATTTTGATATTCTTCAGCACACTTTCTGCTGGCTGATGACCCTCACCATCATCTGGCACCCCACGTGTCCTCTTCTCAACTGTATCTCGCTGAATCAAATTCCTCCCCGTCCTACCCATTCAGTGTAGTCGCCCACTAAGACTCCCTGTGAATCCAAACCTCTATCCCTGGGGCAAACCACACCTCGAACCACCTTACCCATCTTGCAGCCAAAGTTCTGCACTTAGACTTACTAAAGTGTAAGAAATTCTTTTTCTGAACACTCCTTCATTTTTTTTCAAAAGTTCCGCTTTTATTTTAATTCACTCATTTCTTCTCCCTCTCCTCCCTCTCCCTCTCTCTCTCTCTCTCTCTCTTTAAATCTTTCGTTCTTTCCTTGTCATCTGGCTGCCTCTTCTTATTTCATATTTATTTTTTATTTTTTTAACTTGTACTTTGCTTACAACTTTTGATTTTATTTATATTCTCTTGTTGAATCATTATTTTTATTTTTAATATACTTGTTCTCGAGTTGCGCACTTTCTTTTTAAGATATTCTCTAGGTGTGTTCATTTGGTACATGCTCTCCGATTGCAGGTTTCTCTTTTTATTTGCACTCTGGAGTAATACCTCTGATTTATTTACACTCTGAAGTGATGCTTCTGCTTTATTTACACGCTGGCTGCAAAATTTTATTTTATTTACACGGTAGAGTAATGTTTCTGCTTTGCACTCTAGAGAGACGTTTTGGCTTTATTTACTCACTTGAGTAGTGCGTCAGGTTTATTTACACTTTGAAGTAGGGTTTTAGTGTTCTGTGTTATTTACACTTTTAAGTAGTGCTTAGTCTTTATTTACACCCGCGTGTATTGTTTGGGCTTTATTTACACTTCCGAGTAGTGCTTGAGCTTTATTTACACTCCCGAGTATTGTTTTGGCATTATTTGCACTCCTGAGTAGAGCTTAGACTTTATTTACATTCCCGAGTAGTGCTTCAGCTTTATTTACACTCCCGAGTAGTGCTTGAGCTTTATTTACACTCCCGGGTATTGTTTAGGCTTTATTTACACTCCCGTGTAGTACTTGGGCTTTATTTACACTCCCGAGTATTGTCTAGGCTTTATTAGCTCTCCTAGTAGTGCTTAGGCTTTATTTACACTCCGGAGTAATGTTTGTGCTTTATTTACACTCCTGAGTAATGTTTGTGCTTTATTTACACTCCGGAGTAATGTTTGTGCTTTATTTACACTCCCGAGTATAGTTTAGGCTTTATTTACTCTCCCGAGTAGTACTTGGGCTTTATTTGCACTCCCGAGCAATGTTTATGCTTTACTTATACTTCCAAGTATTATCCGGGCTTTATTTGCACTCCCGAGTAGTGCTTGGGCTTTATTTGCCCTCTCGAGTAGTGTTTATACTTTACTTATACTTCCCAGTATTATCTGGGCTTTATTTGCACTCCCGAGTAGTCCTTGGGCTTTAATTACACTCCCCTATAGTTATTAGGCTTTATTTACACCTCGAGTAGTGCTTGGACTTTATTGGAAACCCACCTGCAGAACTCTGTTTTCATTTTCACACTGTTGACATCATTTCCTTTTTGTACTCTTCTATTTCTAACGGCTCAGTATTTACATGTTAATGTTATAGATATTCTTTGGTTACATATGTTTTTCTGTCTATACACTGACTGCATTTTTTTCCATTCCTTTTCTTACGCACTTGTTGCCTCTTTAGTTTTTATAACCGTATGTCTGCTTTCAACCTTCTTTATTTACTCCTGATTTCAATCTTCTCTTTTTTAATTATTCTCTGGTTGTATTCTTGATTGTATGTACTTGCCGTCAACTTAGTTTATTCTTTCTTATACTTGCTCTATGATTACATAAGTCTTTCGCCTGTATTTTTAAAATTATTTTTTAGTTGTTATTTTTTAATTTATAAAATTATGAGTTTATTCTCAGAGTTTGGAACGTAAAGCTGAAATTGAAAAGATTTAAAAAAAAAAAAAGGAACTTGTGTAACTTTTAGGAATGAATGAATTATAATAAGGAAGTTAAATGCAACTTAAACAGTAGAATCTTTCTCTTTTTTTTTTTTTTTTTTTTTTGCTGGGGGTAGGGGTCTTAGCCTCCTAATTAATACACCGAAACCTTTGCTATAATGTCAGGTTTTCATGCTCAAAGTGTTGTACTCTTTGAAGCTGTAGAATTAATGTGTTTAGGTCCTTGATGAATGTAATTCCCTCCTCTGACAAAATCAGACGGTTCCAACAAAAATTTAATTTGAATCCCAAATGTTTTCTTTTGATCCAGAAACTAAAAAGCTACGATTTCGTTTGAACTTTGAAAATAGAAGCAATCTTTTTATAACAACGCCTCTATATTTTCCAAAGAATTTGATATGACAAAAAAGAAAAGTTATTCTAGGCTTTTATCACGGTTGTAGATACTGTTTGACAATTCAGCACGTCGTACAAGAGACTGTTTCTACTTACGGGTTCTACATCTTGTCTAAGCGGCGTCTACCGG